TTGTTCTCCAGGCATTGGGAGCGCGTCTTGAAGGGGCATTCTGGCAATTAATTAATATTTTAAAAGATAATGAGAAGATGAGAAAAAGGTGATAAGGAGATAATAAAAAGATGATAAGAAGATAATAAAGAATAATAATATGATAATAAAAAAGGATAAAAAGAAGATAATGAAAAATAATAAGATAATAAAAAAGATGATAAGAAGGTAATAAAAAGATGGTAAGAAGATAATAAAAAAAGATAAAAAGAAGATAATAAAAATAATAAGATAATAAAAAGATGATAAGGAGATAATAAAAAAGAAAATGTGAGGAAAATAAGAAAAATATAAACAAAAGATGAATGGATGAACAAATAAATAATGTAATTAAGTATCTGAATTGAGGAATTCCATTAAATTCAGTTTATCCAAGTTAAACAAACCTAAATGAAATGAAATTAAATCAGAATAAAACAAAACACACAAAAAGATACATTTAAGTCTCATTCACTTCAAGTAAAGAGATCACAATAAAATAAAATAAAATATCAAAAGAGATTCTAAAGCAATAATTCATATCAATCTAAACGTAATCGAATCCTTACCTAATCTAATCAAGCCAAAATAGAAGAAAAAAAAACGTTTCAGATGAAATAAACAAACGAACAAATAGAAAAAAAGAACTATACAAGATAAAAAAAAGAAAAACAATTTAATGAAAAAATGAACTATACAAGATAAAAAAAAAAAAATAATAATAATAATGAAACAAATGAAGTATACAAGATAAAAAAAATAATAATAATATATGAAAAAAAAAAGAAATTACATAAGATAAAACAAAGCAACTTTTTACCATCACAGCAGACGTCGTCTCCGCCAGCGCACGCCGCCGGTCCCCCGAGGGCGTGGCAGACCCAGGCGTCCGAGGGGAGGCAGCGGCCGCCGTAGAGGGCACACTGCCCGCTCTGAGAGGGGGGGAAAGGCACGGGAGATTTTGAAGGGAAATTCTGAAGGGATAATTTGAAGAGTGATTTTGAAGGGACATTTTGAAGGTCGATTTTGAAAGGCGATTCTAAGGGAGATTCTGAAGGGAAATTCTGAAGAGAGATTTTGAAGAATGATTCTGAAGGGATATTCTGAAGGGCGATTTTGAAGGGAAATTGTGAAGGGAGGCCGAGAGATCGTTAAAAGGGAGATTTTGAAGTGTTTGAAGCTGTAAGGATTATATTTGTGAATTCGTCTGCCTAGCTCTGGGAGTGAGGGGAAAGTGAGGGAAGATTCTGAAGGAGGATTTTGAAGGAAGGTGAGGGGAAAGCGAAGGGGACATTTCGAGAGAATTATACCCTTTAAGAGTAAAATTTTGAGGGTGTATGAAGCAGTGTTTGTGTGTTTGTTTGCTTTGTTTCAGGAGCGAGGGGAAAGTGAGGGGAGGATTTGAAGGGAAGTCGAAAACATGGTGAGAGGACGGAGCATGTGTCCGTGTTTATGTAGCAATCTAAGTGAGGAGAAATTTTTGTGTGAATCTGGGAATGAGGGGAAACACAGAGACGTTGAGGGGAATTTGCAGTGACTTTGAAGATTTAGAACTACGATTAATTTTATGTTTCTGTGTCTTTATTGCTCTGTGAGTGAGGAGAAAGTGAGGGGAAGGAATTAGAAAGAAATTCTATACAAGGGGAAATTTGATATCTTTAAGCTATGAGTGTTTTTTTCGTGCATGTGGAGATAGTAGAATAAAGTGATAATGATATGAATGAAAAGAGAGATATGTTAATTATGAGAGCTGATAAAATTTGTAAACAGAAAGCAATTGGCAATTTGCATCACTAACAATTAATGATAATGAAATCATCCAAAACGAGAGGTCTGCTATTAAAAAAATAAAAAGTGAAATTATTGACGAAAAAAAAAGAAATATACAAATAGAAAAAATAAAGAACAATTAAATAAAGACTGTAAATAGGACTAGAACGAACAAAAAGCGGATATGAAAGCAGAATAAAGGAAAAAGAAAATGTGATAGACAAGCATAAAAAAATACATGATAATATCAAGAGCCATTTTAAACCCCTTTTAGAGAAAGGAAGAGTAATGAAAATTGACAGATAGATACATGCAGATATAGATAGATAGAGATGGATAGAGACAGAGATAGTGAGATATAGAGAGATAGTTAGAAATAGAGATATAGATAAATAGTTAGAAACAGAAAAAGAGATATATAAATAGGCAGATAGATAAAGACTGAGATAGACAGATAGAGACTAAGATAGATATAGAGATAGACAGATAGAGACAGAGACAGACGGAGAAATAGAAATAGGGAAAAAAAACGTAAAATTCAAACAGAGACACACGAACAGACAAACAGACACAGACAAAATAGAAACGAAATTAAAAGAAAAAAAATCACCCTGGCTGCCACTCCGGCCTCGACCCCACCAGCAGCGAGGACGACCAACGCAAAGACGACGACAACGACCTTCAGACGTCTCAAGGACATGCTGGCGGCCAT